AAAACTGCCTTTGTTTTGTTTCCGATTCTCCCCAAAGCAGCTCCTGAGACAAGAACTTGGATACAGGTAGTGTATGTGGGTGGTGGCCCCAGGAAATACAGTGAGAGGGGAAGCGAGGCAAGGAAACACTACAAGCCAGTAAGAAGTGCATTGATAAGCGGGTGCCTTCTGCGGGCAGCTGGGGCTCCCTCCTGCTGGGGACCCTCCGAGGAACCGTGAGGAGCCCCTGCCAGAATTGTTCAGTGGGGAACGGGGAAGCTATGTGTCCCCGGCTCCTTTCCCTCACTGGCGGAGGGTGCCCTGGGGACGTGCACTTCCCAGGCTGCCCACTCACTGTCGGTGCGCGTGGGAACTGTCTGCAGCAGCTGGGGGTGCACACACAGGTGGGCTGAAGGGCCATGGGACAGGTACCAGCTGTCTCTGCCCGGTTCCCCACGTTAAACCTAAACCTCCCCTCCAAACTCTCCTTCCTTCTGCTGGCATGCTTGACAGTGGAGGCCAAGCCCACGGATGGCCCCATAGATGCCCCTGGGGTGGGGGCGGGCCCTCTGGCCCCAAGAAGGCACCCGACATGGGAGGGACTCTTTTTGACCAACATCTCCAGGTGAGTGTGATGGCAGCCAGGCTGGATCTACTCTGGGTTTCTTTCAGAGCCCGAGCCTCAAGGTTTTTAGGATCCCCCATGGTGAAATGAGTCACCATTTTTGGAGCACAGACTGGGACTACATGCTAGTGCAAAAGGCAGAGGCTCATCCTGGGAGGACCCCATGGGCTCATGGGACGAGAGCCCCCACCACCGGTCAGTAAAACTTGAAGTGGAATCTGCTGCAGTGAAGGAAAAGGGACACTTTGCTCAGTGCCAGAGAAGAGAGGGAACAGAGCTGGGGAGGGAGAGAGGGGATGGGAGCGAGACTGGAATGGCCTGGAAAAGGTGGCAAGAAACAGATTGTGAGAAGGCTTGAATGCCTGGTTGCATCTGAGTTTTCACCTAGAAGGGATATAGGGTCAACAGAAGCTTTTCTTTTCCCTTGGGAAGGTGACACTGAATACCCACATCCTGTCCCCGGGCTTCTAGGCAGAGCCAGGCAGTGGCTACTGTGCGGAGAGATTCTTGCTGTCTTTGTCTTGTTCTCATGGCTGGAGACAGAGGACTTGGAAATGGTGAGATAGTCCGATGGAGGAGGCTTTGGGAAGGGGCTTTGGGAAGGGTGGGCATGTGTTTAGCCCTGGGCTCTGTCCTGAGAGAGAAACACGCCTTTATGCTAATAAGCCATCCGAGGGCTTATTTGTCACTAGCCTGTTCTCTAACTGATACAAGAAGGCAAGGCGGAAACAAGAAACATGGATGGAGCATTCATCCGTGTCATTCTCGACCCTCCCGTGACCTGGGCGCCGAGGTCCCAACTTGGCAGACGTGAAGCAAAAGAACAGAAGAGTGAAGTCAAGTGCAGCGGGCGGGTGAAGCCACAGGGACTCCCGCCCCGGGGCTGTGTCTGATTCTGGAGTTTTGCAGTTCACAGGATTCCTCAAAGTCTGGCATGGAGGCCACTGGCAGGGCACGAGGTAATTTGCGGTGATGTACGGATACAGAAGTTAAATTTAATTAGTTTCGAATTTATCTGAAGGCGTATTGGAATACCTTTATAAATTGCACAGCAACCCAGAGATTTCACGGCTGTCATTTCTCAGGAGGAGGAGGGGAACTTTTTTTAACCAAGTGTGTTGGTTGGTTTAGAGTTAATTAAAGAGAGTCAATAAATAAGAGTAAAAGTATGTGTGGATCCCGCCAAACTGCGAGGCTGGTGGTGAAGGAGGGAGGAGGAGTGCGCGATAACCAGGTTTGCTCTTCAGGAAAAGAGTGGAGTCATGGGGCGCGGGAAGGGAGTCCTGCGTCCCCTGCCATGGAACCACGCCTGCCTGGGGCCCCTCGCTTTAGCACCAAGGCTCTCTCAGACGAAACACTAAAGGCTTTAAGTTTCTGGAAACCCGAGGTGTGTGAAAACAAGGAGAGGGAACAGCGGGAGCCCTTCATAGCTGCCCATCTGACTTGCGTGCATTTTTCCCCCTCTGGTTCATACCGGACACACTGTTCCTGATTTTCATTCCTGGGTGGAAGAAAATTGCTTCACATTTGAAAACACAAATATTTATTTTCTTTCCTCAATGTATATGCTGAGCTTTCTCACTCTAAGCCCTTGCTCCTGCTGTGGAATGTGAAAGCTGCCCCCTTTTTGGGAAGAAACCTATCTCTGCTCCTGAAAACGTACCTGTGGCCCATTTCTGTGGCCCTGCTAATGAGCGGACGGGTGACACAGAAAAGGCGTCTGTGTTCCTCTGAGGAGCCCATACAATGGCCATTCAGATGCGGAGCTGAAAGAGCCATTTCATGGGCCCAGCTGCTGGCCTGGCCAAGAGAGCCATGTACTCCGGGCTCTGGCCGCGGCCCGGTGCATCTGGGAGGGGATGCGGGGCTGGGAGGCTGCAGATCACGTTCTCCTCGAGCAGCTCCGCTGGGCCATGGCCACCGCTGCAGACTCCTGCCTGACCCTGTTCAGTTCCCAAGGGAATGGAACCCACTTGTCACCTGTTGCTTCTTTTAATGCATTGTTTCACTTGATGACCAGATACCCTGTTCCAGCTTCATGCTGGGTCCTGAGGGTCGTCGGAGGCTGGGTGGGGCCAGATGCCCCCCTCGGAGGGAGCTGACGGCCAGAGGGAGGGCAGCTAACACATTTATGATCCATTGTGGGAAAGCGAAAGGCACTGCAGTCATTGTAAATTAAAAATTGTAGAGGGAAAGGGACCAGCAGCCTCGACTAGTGTTTGAAGCTGGGGACGGCTATGAAGGATACAAGTAAATGAAATCTAAACGGGAAACATCAGAGGGAAATGCTGTTTGCTTCCTCCTTCTCTAAACCTGGGGCAAAGAGGGATGAGGCCCGAGTTCCAGGCGGGGCTAACTGGCTGGTGGCTTCAGGCAAGTCATGGATTTCTCTGGGCCTCAGTTGTCTCATCTGACAAATGGGCTGATGCCCTTGGAGACGCTGACCTCACAGGTTTTTTTGGAGGACAGGAAGACACAGTAATAGAGTATGGCTGCCATTATCGCTCAAGATTGTGAGACTATTGGTTGGGTCACTTTAAAAAATAAGTCTGGGGATGCCTGGGTGGCTCAGTCGGTTGAGCCGATGCCTTCAGCTCAGGTCATGATCCCAGGGTCCTGGGATCAAATCTCACATCGGGCTCCTTGCTTGGTGGGGAGCCTGCTTCTCCCCCTGCTTGTGCTCTCTCTCTCTCTTTCTGACAAATAAATGAATAAAAATCTTAAAAAATAAAGTCTGTCCATTTCTTTTTGAGGCATAACTCATACAGGGTGAGGCACACAGGTCTTCAATGTTAACGGTCCTGTCCCCCAGAAAGATGACAATCCTTTGACCCCCATCTGCCCTGTCTTCTCATTGCCTCTTCACCTGGTCCCAGTGAGGCAGAGATGCCAAGAACTACCATTCCCACCGCATGATAACAAGCTGAGACTCAGAGAGGTTAAGTTAGCTGTTCCAGGTCACACCGCTGTTCAGCCACAGACAGAGATCTGAAACTGGCCCTCTCAGCTGGCCAAGCCCATGCTCTTTTCATGTGATCTCATCAGTTACGGAACCTCCATGCAGCAGCAGGTCCATCCCTGGTGACGTTCCTTTATTTACAAGCCTTTATTTTTGCCTTCCAGCGCAGAGCCTGGCTTGGGCCCAGACGCAAGGATGAATCCGTCAGACTCTTAACAGCTCATGGGTGAGACACACAATGACAGAAGCACGGGAAGGGGGTCCTAATCCTGGGGGAGTGAGGGAGAGGTGGGCCTGGAGAAGGCACCTCCACCAAGCTACACCCAAGCAAGCAGGGTGGCTGAGAGCACTGGCCTGGGGCCCTGTTCTGTTAATGATACTTAAAAAAAAAAAAAAAAAAAGATTTATTCACTTATTTTAGAGAGAGAGAGATCATGCACATCTATGCAGGGCATGCGGGGGAGGGGGACAGAGAGAAATCTCAAGCCGACTCCCCACTAAGTACAGAGCCTGTCTCCGGGCTCGATCCCACGACCCTGAGATCATGACCTGAGCCAAAACCAAGAGTCGGACACTTAACGGACTGAGCCTCCCTGGCGCCCCTGACAATGACTTCTTGGCAACGTGACCTCAGACACGTTATTTCATCTCCCTGTTTGTCAGTTCTTCTGGAAGATGGGGGTAGTAATAGTAGCTGCATCACGGGGTTGTCAAGGGAACTAAATGAGACTGTTCCTATAACTCTGCTCCTCTCACCCACCCTAGGAGGTGCGATCAGAGAGGTGAAGCAATGGGCCTATGGTCACACAGGCAGCGAGTAGCAAACCTGGGTAATTGGCTTCAGGTCTGTGCTCCTACCCGTCCTCTATTGCCCTGCACACACATGTCAGAGCATGAAAGGGAAGGAGGGGCGTTTGGGGCAGATGACCCTGCTGGTACAAAGCCCTGGAGGGCCTCTCGGGGACCCCAGGAGTGGCTGCCTGGCGGGGAGGCAGGGAGGCAGGGGATAGGCCAGGTGAGCAGGGCGAGTGCCAGATAAGGAAACTGATGGAGGTGTGAGTGGGGATTGGGTGGGGTGTGGGGCAAGGGTGCAGGGCTCGAGGCCATTGGGCTGGCTTTCCCTGGGCTTGGAGCAGCAGCTCTGGGTCAGGGCAGGCTCCACCCACCCAAGATTCCCTGAGTTCCAGCGGCAGGTCCGCTTCTGCAGGCAAAGGAGCCCTTGTGGTCGGAGGGGCCTCCTGAGCCCAGGCCAGGCGGCTCCCTCCCTCTCTAGGCACACACACCTCCATTCAGCCTGGGCCACACCCCCCAAGGGGGCTAGGGGCCCCAGGCAGCTGCCCCCATGTCAGTGGGGGCCGCCTGGCCGCCGAAGTTGATAAGACCGGGACCCCACTGGCCCCCAGCACTGTGCCGGCTGCTGCCTGCCCTGCCAGAACCATGAGGCTCCTCTCTGGCACTGGCCTCGTGCAGTGTGGCCTGCTGCTGCTGCTGTTCCAGGCCCTGTGCACACTGGGCCTTGCCCCCCAGGCCAGAGGTGAGGGGGTCCATGTGAGGTGGGGGACATAGGGTGAGCGGCCTCTGACCAGCAGCCTGGCCAAGAGGAGCAGAGGTTAAATGGGGTACGGGATGGGCCGGGGTGCTGAGGGGTCGGGGGGCAAGGGGGTAGGAGGACAGCAGGCTGGCCTGGGAGCCGACAGCAATGGTGACATTCATAAGGGCCAGAGCAGGGATGATCCTCGGTCTGTGCTATTGAGGGACAGGAGTGGGCCTTTCTCTGCAGCCTCACAGCCTTCCCTGGGGCTCCTCAGCTCCCAGGCCCCCCTCGGGGACCACGCATGCCGCCAGGGCCAGTCTTGTGGGTTGCTGAGGACAGAAGCTGGAGCTGCACCAAGCCCAGGGCTGCATGCACGCTCCGTCTGGGGTGACCAGGACTCCACCCCCCTTTCCCCAGCCCCTCCAGCCTCACCGGGTGTGAGCTCCTGCCTGCTGTACCACTCCCAGAGCTTCTGTCTTGCGCACAGAGTCCCAGAATGCCCAGCTCCTCCTGTACAGATGGGGAAACTGAGGCTGGAGAAGGGCATTCTCCTGGTTCCTGATGCACTGCTCCATGGTGTGGCTAATTCCCTCAGCCTCTCTTGGCCTCAGTTTACCCGTGTGTAGCCTTAACTAGTAGGGACCAGAGTGCGGCTGCAAGGTCATTTCTAAGGTTCCTTGAGGAGCTCTGATACCTAGGGCGCTGTGGCTGGGGGGCTGGGACAGCCCAGGATCCCTTTCCTTTTCTGAGCCTTCCTGTATCCTCTCTTGGGAGAGGCTCTGCTCAGTTCTGGGGCACAGAGAGGAGGGCCTTTGTACTGAGCCTCTCCTGGCTGCAGGGTCAGGCCAGTGAGAGTAACAAACAGTGAGCCTTATTCTCCCCACTGGACAGATGAGAAACTGAGGCTCCTAAAGGTGCAGTGAGCTGCCCGGGGCCACAGGGGGGCTGAGCTGGGATTCGAACCTCACTCTGCTTCATTCCAGCTTCATGCATGTCCCAGCCCATGGGGCTGCTTGCTGGGGTGTCTGGAAAGACATGCCTCCATGGGGATGTGTCTTAGGAACCCATTGGGTCAGGCTGCCACGGTGGCCATGAGGAATCCCTGCCCCTTTCCCTGCCTATGGACACCAGCCAGAAGACTCCTCAGGGCTGAGGGAAACTGGGTCCCCTTGGGTGACTGGCTTTGATGCTGAGATGAAAGAGACCAAGTTGATGGGCCCTGCGCTGGGCCCTGGGGCTCTGTCCTCTGTGCCCTCCCCGCCCCCCAGCCCCCGCAGGAGAAATTCTGCCGTGGCCGTGGCAGCCACTCTGGGTCACAGCCTGAGAAGTGTGTCTTAAAGTCTGTCGTCTCCTTTGCCACCCCCTGGATACCAGCTGCATGCCTAGCCCTGTCCTGGCACCTTGCACGCACTCCTGCTCAGCCCTGAGGGTTCTGTAAAGAGGGGACTGTCAGCTCATTGTACAGACGAGGAAACTGAGCTCAGGGAGGTACAGTGAGTTCCCTGCGGCTGAGATTTGAGCCTCTGTCTTCCCCAAGGGGCTGAGAAGCTGGTCCAGCCACGGGTGTCCACATGCTGACAGAAGGTCCGAGCTGGCCTGGCCCAGCTTCAGGTTACACTGCCCGGGGCCTCCAGTCTCCGTCTAAGCAGCCCCTGACCTTCGCCCCCTGCTCTTGGCCCTCTCCCTCCTGTCCCCCCTCGCAGGGCATCTCTGCCGGACCCGGCCCACGGACCTGGTGTTTGTGGTGGATAGCTCACGCAGTGTGCGGCCCGTGGAGTTCGAGAAGGTGAAGGTGTTCCTGTCCCAGGTCATCGAGTCTCTGGATGTGGGGCCCAATGCCACCCAGGTGGGCGTGGTCAACTATGCGAGCGCTGTGAAGCAGGAATTCCCACTGCGGGCCCACGGCTCCAAGGCCGCCCTGCTCCGGGCTGTGCGCCGCATCCAGCCGCTGTCCACGGGGACCATGACGGGCCTGGCCATCCAGTTCGCCATCAACAAAGCCTTCAGTGACGCCGAGGGGGGTCGGGCCAGGTCCCCCGACATAAGCAAGGTACGTGACCCATCCCTCCTGCCCTCCCGGATTCCCCAAACCTGCTTCCGGTTGTGTCTTAGGCCCAGAGAAGCCAAGGGGCAGAGCTGGGCCTTGAAGCCATCTTTATCCACCCTCTGACCGCAGGACCTCAATCTGGAGCGCGCTTGATTTTTTTCAGATTGGTGGACCTTAGCTCCCTGTGGCCGACTGAGGCAGTCCAGATGCCTGCCCTCCACCCTGCTCCCTGGACTAGCTGTCACCCTGAGCAGCACGTGTGGCTCCTTGTCAGTCCCTTCACGTCTAAACCACAATGATGCAACTCGTTTTTGAGGGACTGTCAGGAGGCCTCTGTGAAGTCCATTGCACAGTGTGCTTGGAACAGGGCACGGACCCACCAAGCCCCACGGAAGGGCTAGCTCAGTTTTATTTAATAAGCCTCCGAGGGCAGGGGTTTGGAAAAATGAGGTGATGTGCCCCAAGCTGATGTCAGTACGGGCTCCAGGCCAGGTGCCGAGGAGTTCACAGACCTGGTCCCCACAGCAGGATTTCCCAGCACAGCCCAGGGCCTGTGAGACTGGTCAGAGGTTGCATCCCACGGTGGTCTGCCCACCAATGCCCACACCTCTCCTTCCTAGCCCTCAACAGCCCCAAGGAGTCAGCCTTTACCTGCCCAGGCCCTCAGCCCCAGGGACATACTTTCCGACCCCCATGCGGGCCATGCCTGACATCTGAGTGCCGAAGGCACCCAATCCTGCTTGAAGGTGGTGACCTCATTTTACAGATGAGGAAACTGAGGCACAGAGGCCCAAGTGTCTTGCCCAGCTAATAAGCAGTAGGAACATCTACAGAGGATAGGCCATAATCCCGGCCATTACAGCCCTCAGAGAAATGGTCTGTTAGGCTAAGCCTGTTGGTCGTCCTCTGTGGGGGCCCTTGACAAGCTCTGCTGTGAGGTTGATGGTCATGGTCGTTGACAGGCTGTGGTGACCTGGGGTGATCCTAATGGAGAGAGGTGGTGAAGGGGATGGTGGCAGTGTCTATAGGTGTCACACCTCCAGTTAGGGGCCTGGGGTAGGCACATGAAGACACACAGTGCCCCCAGATCTGGGCTGTCCAGCCTGGAATCCACCTGTGGGAGGCCCCTACAAGGTGGGTGCAAGGTCACAAGGCTGGATTGAAGGGGGATAGTCGGGGCTCCGGGAGACAGTGGGTCTCGGGGAGCGGGGCAGCCCGTGGCAGTGGACAGTCACAGCTAGGCGAGTGCAAGATCACTCCCCAGGGGTCCCGGACAGTGATAAGGAAACAATCCCTCCCCTTCCTAGATGACTCAGGAAGGTGAACGACATTTCCAACCACCATACTACAGGTCACCAAGACAGGGGTTTGGGGCCCCGGGCTGAGGGTGGGGACCCAGGAATCAGAAGCAGATCCAGGTCAGAAACAGAGAAGCGCTGTGAGGACCCTGGCCTCCAGGCAGGCTCAGGTGGGCGTGGTGAGGTTAGGCCAAGCACCAGGGTCCCCTCTGTGCCCCTTCCCAGGGCACAAACAGGGGAGACTTGTGGGAGGGGAGCAGACAGTGTTCTCTCCTATGGAAAGGAAATGTAGCATCCTGGGGAACGGAGGGAGAAGAGGGAGCCATCTATGTGGGAACAAGCCCCCTCCCAGGGCCTGGAGGGGAAGGATGGCCAGGCTGGAGGCAGAGCCGCCGTTTATTAGCCTCGCCTGCCCTCTGCTGGCCAAAGGGCAGAACTGCATGGTGTCGGGCCCGCTTGCCGGGCCTGTCCTCAGAGGCCTCAGTCTGAGGAGGGAGACACGGTCCTGCCCTCAGATTATCAGAGCTGCGGCCTGCCCGAGGAGGGAGACACCCACAGGCCCTAGTCAGATGGGAGAACATCTCAGCCATGTCTTTCAGTGCGAGGAAACCTGTCTTCTCTTTTGCTAGTCAGGTTCCCCTCCCTGGGGCAAAACCCTGGCGGGGAATCAGATCCATCTGGTGTGGATTAGCTGTGTGACCTGGGCAAGCCGCTCTCCCCCTCGGGCCTCAGGGTCCTCTTCTGCCAGTGGCCCCGCGGGCTTAGTGGAGGGCCGAGCCGTCCGGTCCAGCGCGGCAGGGAGGCCTGGTCCTCACACGCGCCCCGCGTGTCTCAGGTGGCCATCGTGGTGACGGACGGGAGGCCCCAGGACAGCGTGCGGGACGTGTCTGCACGGGCGCGGGCCAGCGGCATCGAGCTGTTCGCCATCGGCGTGGGCCGCGTGGACAAGGCCACGCTGCGGCAGATCGCCAGTGAGCCGCAGGAAGAGCACGTCGACTACGTGGAGAGCTACAGCGTCATCGAGAAGCTGTCCAAGAAGTTCCAGGAGGCCTTCTGCGGTGCGCCGGGAGGGGCGGCGATGGACGAGGCTGGGGGGTCTCGGGGAGCATGCTGGGGAGTTGGTGTGGGGGCCGGACCGCAGGGGGCGGGGGCGTGGCTGAGAGCATCGGGGCGGGACTGAGTGCGCTTCGGGGGTGGGACCGGGGCGGGGCGGACGGGGATGGATAGGGCAGGGGCTGAGGGGGGGGGGGGGAATAGGGCGGGAGGCGGGGCTGAGAGAGTCAGCATGGGGCAGGCCT